TCGGAAGACGCACTAGGATAGATGCCAAAACGATTTGGATATCTGGCTCTCTTCAAAAATGTCCTTCTCATTGCACCATGAATAATCGGCCCAAAACGCACTTGCCGTTCTACGGATGATTCGACACACATGTTCCAGTATTACTGACACAGGCTTCTAAATACTCTGTGGATCCTACGCCAGACCGCTTCTTGAGTATGTCAGTTAAGTCGTCTACTCGGTACGCACGAATGTGCGAGTCCAACGAGCCGCTACGAAAATTGTTACCAGCCACTAAGCTGTGGACTACGAAACGCGTCTTGTGATGCTTGAGCTTTTCGCCCTCTTGTGTCAGCGCCTCTCAGGGGACCTAATTCCTACTTATGCCCTGTGTGAACAAGGCTTGGCCGACAGGTTTATCACCGTCGAGCCAGCCAACACACGGCGGGGACACGGCAAGAGGATTTTCAAGCTCAGAGCGCACGCATTCAGCAAATTTTTTTCTTATTTTGGGTAGTAGCTGCGTGGAATAGCCCTCCTCCGACAGTTGTCCGCGCTCCATATAGCATCAGGTCAAAGCACTATTAGGCAATTATTACCGAAGACCATCGAGCTGGCAAGCTTACTGCCCTGAGTTGAAAACATGAAGAGCGAAAGACCGCCACTAAACGACAAGAACAAAACCGACCCGGAAAACTCGGACAAAGGCCTTGATCCTGTGTATCAATCCATGAACTTAATTCTCACATTTGTCGCTCACCGGCTCCCATTCACTAATCCGGTCCCCGTTTCTTGGCAGAAAAACGGATTACTATTACTTGTTAGTTACACCTATTTGCTCACGCAATTGTGCATCATGTATACATATTATTCTACTGACTGTCTCTAACGCCCACACTTAAGCCTACCGCTCACTCAACTATGAGTGGAAACCGCTCGCTAATTTACTTTTGGTCACTGCGTAAATGAGAGTAAACGCAATACCGGACGATTCGAGTCTGCTGGTATTTAGCTACTCACCCGGATACATGCTTGTTACATCTACAGTGTCTATACACAGCTAATGGACGCTCAAATACACTGCGCTCTATCCACTTGTGGCCCGCATTGCAGTGACCTTGAGTTAAGTGTTTGTTGTTTAACTTTGCCGAGATTTAGGGCTCAAGGCTAAGCGCGCCAGGTTGTTGCAGGTGGGCCTGATGTAAAGCCCGCGCCTCAGATTTGCCATTCCGATGGCATGTGCCGGTGAGGACGCAATAGTGCATGATTCGGATCCATCGTCGACCGTACCACAACCACAATTCGATCCGTACTTTACTGCAAATGAGAAAATAATCCAAGATTTACTGATCGACGAACGCAGGTACCACAGCACTCCAGCATATTGTGTTAAACAACCCCTTGCGGTCGCTAAGTGGATGCGCAGGGCGTTGTTAACGTGGGTTCGGGAGGTGAGCCATAAGTTCGCTTTCTCACTTTCGTAGATATGTGCCTACCGTCGCACGGACGCTGGTGTCCTCTCTCAAACCGCCCAGCTGATCGACCGCTACCTTCATGTCGTCCCAATAGAGAAAAGCCAATATCAGTTAGTAGGAGCAGCGTGCTTCTTTATCTCCAGCAAGCTTAAAGAGTCGACCCAAGTACCCTTAAGCGAGATGGTCAAGTTCACTGATTATTCAGTCCAAAATGTGGATATACTAGTAAGTTGTTTTGTCCGGTCTGTTTAATTTGCAGGCGTACGAGATGATGGTCTGTTTATCGCTGGCATGGGACCTAACATGCATCACCCCCGTTGATTTTATCGCCCCAGTTGTTGATTTCCTGGAATTTGTCCCGGAATTGAAGCAGATAATACGCCAGGCGGCACTGAATATATACACGAAAGTATTCCATGGTGAGTATCAAGCCTGTCACTTGTTCCTATTCCATTAGTTTCCATCAAATCTTTGTTCTTTTCGCCAACCGCAGTAGTCCTAGGCACCAGTGTTCAGCGTTGTTGACAGCCCCCGTCTGCGTATACGCTAGACGTATTAAGTGGTACGCAACGGCACAGGTCGCGTTAACGAAGGTCTTGCAATTGACGTTGTGATCTACTGGGTGCTGAGGCAAACAAACGTTAAAGGGTACCCTGAAAACACCTAAGTCGCATCCGATCTACTCTAAGCGGAAAGATCCAACTCCCCTTTTAACAAGTTATTCCCGGAGGTGAAGTCGTAACCTCCGGTAATCGTGGCATAGGGGCTCCACCTCTTGGAATCCCTCGTATATCGCATTTGGCGAAATCCTATGGGAAGCTTCGTTCCGCCTTATGTCATCTAGACTCAGGTTTCACCGTCAGTGTTCTGTGTTACGCTGTTGGTTGGGATCACGTCATTCGTTTCATAAGGGGGGTTGCAGATAGATTTGTTAACACGAGAGTACCGTTGCGACCACCGCATTTCGGCGGGAGGTGACTCAGGGTCGAAGCTCAAAGGGTAAGACAAGGTCTTCGCATGTATTCGAAAACCGATTGCTGCCTCCTAGGAAGGTGCAGAGTCTTGGTGGCTAGTTGCTGGTCACTTTAGGTAAGTTAACTCTTTCGTATCCGATTGAGTATATTGTTCACTTGATTTTCGGATGTGGCATTTGCCCATATTTTCCAGCTGGTGAGCATACCTTCGGCGTGACGAATTTCGGAGCGGTTGCCTGATGCCTTACTGAATATATCAGCGGCGTCGAACTTTTTTCGCAGACGACTGATAGGTTCCGTTGCGCCTCTAGTAGTCGTCAGGGTCCTGCCCTCATTTCGGCGTATTTAGTATGCCTGTTTACGTGCCTGTGAAATGGAGAGTGAAGGCAATGATGATTCATATGTCAATTCCATCCGTTTGTCTTGATTACAATTTCGATATACCTCGGCTGTTAGAAAGCGAAGCTGCTCATACTAAGAGTTGTTACTGGAGCAGGCTGGACGGTTGTTGGCATCATGTTAAAGTCACTACTTTAACGTGATACTTTAACATGGGGATGCAATTATCGGGTCCTCAACCTCTGTACGACATCCGTAAGTTCAAACTGTGGACAGCTTGGCAACCAAAAGGTATTCTATTTCATAAGGATTCTCATATTTGTATCAGTTTCCTTTTGGACAAAGACTTACGGCCAATTATGATACCTTCGAAAAGTCAAGTTCGCCTTCACCATTGCTTTGCGACTCGACTGATCACGAAGTAGTTGCAGATTTGAGATGCAGGAATTCAGCCTACGAAACTCTTGATAATAACACTTATTGTTATTATTAGAGCGAAGCAGCTTGCTGAGTGTCTCGTGAGTCTTACAGTCCAATAGAGCACAACAAACAATGTTGATCAATGAGGTGTAGCACACGCTACAGAAGTTTACTCGTGCCTGTGGGCCTCCACCGTCTCTCATCACGTTAATACAACGCCGTAGGTGAATGCCATGCTGCCGCGATTCATTGTATGAAACGGATCCGACTGCTTAAATGGTGGTTTGGGTTTTGTTGCGAGTTTCTGTGCTGGATGTCGCTATGGTCTGACTTTTGATAGAGTTTAAAAAAACTAGTAAGATGACGACGTCACTTTAGTTCGATGACTGTAAACGGTGTACATATAAACGACAATTCGGGTCATCGCAATCCTTGATCGTAGGTAGTGTAGGATAGTGAGGATACACAACGGAATGTGGATTTGTTCGACGTGGCTCAGCAGTTAGTACGTGAACCTATTAGCCGACCCCAACTCTGGCATCTCGACTGCTCCATTTGGGCAACCTGACGATGTCTCAGTCCCCTGGCTTCCCACGACCAGCGTGTTAACTAACCACCGATATGGCGTTACAGCAGGATAATTGTTCGATTTGGTTATAACGTGCAACAAAGGAACAGACACAGCTGACACTAGTTGAATTACCTCGACATTTCGATAGGTACTCCATACACCAGTACGATAGGTCTTCGATAACCTCAATCTCTCAGACGAACTGCATTTTGCGGCTAAAGCGTCTTTTATGTTTTCCCTCCGGGACTCCCAGTCAATCTACCTCACCCAACAGTTCAGTCATCCGACATACGAAATACGTGGCCGAACCAGCGTACTTGGTGCGGCCTAAACAACTCGTCAAACTCAAACATTTGTCGAACTCCCACACTGCAAATCCGTTCTTCTAACGGTCTTCCAGGCTGCGGACTGCGTAATCCCCACTTCACCTGTTTGAGGACGCTGTAAGATATGTTTGCTAGTCGATATCAGTGGCGTTTTTGTCGCCAGTTCCTCTTACGACTTTCTGAATGAATGCCTAGAGGTGTAGGCACCTGGGAATAATTATAGTATGCCAGCATTGACTCCCTTCCCGGACCACTTATTTTTTTCGCAATAAGTCTTTCAAATTAAGCATGGCTGCACGGCAGCTAGGCCTCTGATATCATGCTGTCGGTGATGACGGTAGTGGTGATCATTTTGCTTAAGACGATCTCCCCATCATCTCTGCACAGTGTTTTTGCGGTACCGGTGTCTAAAGACAAGCAATATTTCTGTCTTCAGCGCACAGTGATCGTGTTTTAGTGCACTGGTGATGATAGCCATGATATAATTGAGAGAGTATATGCACTAGTAACAGTTTTTATCAGGGTTGACAGTGGTGAGATTCAAAGTGGAATGTGGAGCAAGTCAAATGAGAAGTTTGTCGTTTGCGACAGTCCCGACGACGGGAATGTTTTCTCCACAGGTATAGCTGCTACACGTGTTCCTTCCTTGTCTGTGGACTTGTGGAGTTCGGCTAACTCCTTGCTCCGTGCGCGCTCGCCAGTCTCTGTGTCGACTGTGTTGTGTGTGCCGACTAAGTGTGTAGGTGGCTGAGTTCTCTCCTTGTATACATTTAGTGGACCGTGAAAAAAATGTAAAATCACATTGATCCCATAACGGGTTCATGCAACCTGTTGTCGGTCAAAGGTCCTATTCATTGGCACGAAGTACGCGTGATTGTGAGGCAGACAAAACAAAATGTAGATGGTAGGTGCTGGTGTAAAATTGCTTAGAAGAGTAATTAAACGGAAGGGTAGCCGTTACATACTAAGAGTTGTTACTGGAGCAGGCTGGACGGTTGTTGGCATCATGTTAAAGTCACTACTTTAACGTGATACTTTAACATGGGGATGCAATTATCGGGTCCTCAACCTCTGTACGACATCCGTAAGTTCAAACTGTGGACAGCTTGGCAACCAAAAGGTATTCTATTTCATAAGGATTCTCATATTTGTATCAGTTTCCTTTTGGACAAAGACTTACGGCCAATTATGATACCTTCGAAAAGTCAAGTTCGCCTTCACCATTGCTTTGCGACTCGACTGATCACGAAGTAGTTGCAGATTTGAGATGCAGGAATTCAGCCTACGAAACTCTTGATAATAACACTTATTGTTATTATTAGAGCGAAGCAGCTTGCTGAGTGTCTCGTGAGTCTTACAGTCCAATAGAGCACAACAAACAATGTTGATCAATGAGGTGTAGCACACGCTACAGAAGTTTACTCGTGCCTGTGGGCCTCCACCGTCTCTCATCACGTTAATACAACGCCGTAGGTGAATGCCATGCTGCCGCGATTCATTGTATGAAACGGATCCGACTGCTTAAATGGTGGTTTGGGTTTTGTTGCGAGTTTCTGTGCTGGATGTCGCTATGGTCTGACTTTTGATAGAGTTTAAAAAAACTAGTAAGATGACGACGTCACTTTAGTTCGATGACTGTAAACGGTGTACATATAAACGACAATTCGGGTCATCGCAATCCTTGATCGTAGGTAGTGTAGGATAGTGAGGATACACAACGGAATGTGGATTTGTTCGACGTGGCTCAGCAGTTAGTACGTGAACCTATTAGCCGACCCCAACTCTGGCATCTCGACTGCTCCATTTGGGCAACCTGACGATGTCTCAGTCCCCTGGCTTCCCACGACCAGCGTGTTAACTAACCACCGATATGGCGTTACAGCAGGATAATTGTTCGATTTGGTTATAACGTGCAACAAAGGAACAGACACAGCTGACACTAGTTGAATTACCTCGACATTTCGATAGGTACTCCATACACCAGTACGATAGGTCTTCGATAACCTCAATCTCTCAGACGAACTGCATTTTGCGGCTAAAGCGTCTTTTATGTTTTCCCTCCGGGACTCCCAGTCAATCTACCTCACCCAACAGTTCAGTCATCCGACATACGAAATACGTGGCCGAACCAGCGTACTTGGTGCGGCCTAAACAACTCGTCAAACTCAAACATTTGTCGAACTCCCACACTGCAAATCCGTTCTTCTAACGGTCTTCCAGGCTGCGGACTGCGTAATCCCCACTTCACCTGTTTGAGGACGCTGTAAGATATGTTTGCTAGTCGATATCAGTGGCGTTTTTGTCGCCAGTTCCTCTTACGACTTTCTGAATGAATGCCTAGAGGTGTAGGCACCTGGGAATAATTATAGTATGCCAGCATTGACTCCCTTCCCGGACCACTTATTTTTTTCGCAATAAGTCTTTCAAATTAAGCATGGCTGCACGGCAGCTAGGCCTCTGATATCATGCTGTCGGTGATGACGGTAGTGGTGATCATTTTGCTTAAGACGATCTCCCCATCATCTCTGCACAGTGTTTTTGCGGTACCGGTGTCTAAAGACAAGCAATATTTCTGTCTTCAGCGCACAGTGATCGTGTTTTAGTGCACTGGTGATGATAGCCATGATATAATTGAGAGAGTATATGCACTAGTAACAGTTTTTATCAGGGTTGACAGTGGTGAGATTCAAAGTGGAATGTGGAGCAAGTCAAATGAGAAGTTTGTCGTTTGTGAAAGTCCAGACGACGGGAATGTTTTCTCCACAGGTATAGCTGCTACACGTGTTCCTTCCTTGTCTGTGGACTTGTGGAGTTCGGCTAACTCCTTGCTCCGTGCGCGCTCGCCAGTCTCTGTGTCGACTGTGTTGTGTGTGCCGACTAAGTGTGTAGGTGGCTGAGTTCTCTCCTTGTATACATTTAGTGGACCGTGAAAAAAATGTAAAATCACATGACTGTGTTGGTGTGCCGACTAAGTGTGTAGGTGGCTGAGTTCTCTCCTTGTATACATTTAGTGGACCGTGAAAAAAATGTAAAATCACATTGATCCCATAACGGGTTCATGCAACCTGTTGTCGGTCAAAGGTCCTATTCATTGGCACGAAGTACGCGTGATTGTGAGGCAGACAAAACAAAATGTAGATGGTAGGTGCTGGTGTAAAATTGCTTAGAAGAGTAATTAAACGGAAGGGTAGCCGTTACACGTACTCCACAAACTTGAAGCAAGATAGCACACTCCTGCGCTGTACGCCCCAGGTAGATGTCACCGCCTCTAGATGTCCGCAGTTTGGTGAAAGAGTTTTCGGTGTTCTTCTGGGGACTAAACCGGTGTTCTGTTAATTTTCACGTTGATGTTAGTCAATCTACTACTCCTTCGACACCTCACCGCCTTCTAACTGCCCTGAGTTTTATAAATCTGAATAGTCTTTTGACGTTAGGACACAACATCGACATCCTTGCGTGTTTTTGCAGATAAGTTTGACAGGAGTTCGGCTTGCATTTCCTGAGCTATCCCTATCCACCACTTCCGATCGATCTTAAATTTATAGGATTAGCGTCATTTCAGAAATCTCGCTGTATCGTACTAAATGGAACTACCTCTATTGCTCCAATCAGTAGCACGGATCGCTGTGAGGTTCAACTTGAATTAGGCTGAGTTTGTTTTGCAAGACATGTAGGCAAACGCCGAAATCATAGCGTTTCGGTCTTCATTTAGCTGACCGGCTTGTCTTCTGTTCGTAAGTTGTTTGAGTAGTCGCCGCTGCATGTTGTGGGCATTGAATAACCTCTCCTTCGTTGCTAGAACAGCAGCTGCAACACCAACTGGTGCATGATCCTGCTCCGCGCATGTTTCGAAAAGGTCGATAATCCTGAACTCGAAATAGCCATCTGATTAATGATTGCCATGTGGTTGCTCGGGATGCTTGGTTAATTACGGTTAAGAAGGTGCCAGGTAACCCGATATCCACCTTTCGGCTGCATATTTATGCACACAAGTAGGTGTTGACCAGTGCACTTTATCGTTTCTAGAAACATCTGCACCAATGCCTCCATCGAGACGGTTCTCATGATTGTTGGTTCTCCGCTATTAAAGTAGTGGTATCCATGTGCCTTGCGATCTGCCAAAATCTCTAGTCCTCCATAAAACATGTTTGACAATGTCACTGCTGCAGTTGATTGGGACATGTGCTAAGGTAATGAGTAGATTCCAGGTTCATGTTCGTTGGTTGTAAGTTTTGTCAGACCCGGCCAGTTCAAGCACAATCGGCTGTTCACAAGAATGAAGCAGACTCTTGGTATCGTTTTCTCACACCTAGTCGATATAGGCGACGTCTTGTCAGAGCGTTTCGCGTCGTCTGCCGGGCTCTGTACAGGCCGACGACAGTGTTGCTATTCTTGGATCAAGCCCTTTAAAAATGCAAATTTTTTAGTTTATCTAAGTAATTTCGCTCGATGGTTCGAGGTGCCCCCACTTTTACCTTGTAAGGTGAGGTGTAAGGTGTAAGGCTCGTGCTTTCAGATGAAGCGGTCGATGTGGTAGATAAGTCCATCTATCTGGGCAGTTGCATAGATTTCGACAACTTGGCTGGCATAGGACGAAATCAGTTCCCGAATTTGAAAGGGTATGAGAGCGTTTCCCAACTTCCGTCATTTGTGGCCCCGATACGACATCAGTAAAGTGTACAATGCTGCGATCCGATGTGTCCTATCTTGTCGATCAAAGCCACGACCGCGTTTTGCTGATTTTCCGGGTTTGTTTGTCTCCCAAGCATTGTGCCTCGTGAGAACATCACATCAACACTGCCGATACACATCAATTTTTTAGGCAACGTTTACTCTCGACAAATTAGCTGGTCACACTGTATAATTTACCCAAGCATTGTCGTGAGAACATCACATCAACACTGCCGATACACATCAATTTTTTAGGCAACGTTTACTCTCGACAAATTAGCTGGTCACACTGTATAATTTACGCTTGTTGGACCACGTGCTTCCTTATGTCAGGATCATTTGCTTCGCACTACTCTCTTCGCCCAACCTAATTTCAGATAGAGACGACCCAGACGCAACCAATGCATGACTTGACAACCAAATACGGAAGCCCGTATCAGTCAGCTAGTCTCTGGTAGCTGGCGTCTCAGGAACCAAGACGACAAACCGGTGGTTAGTAACTGACAGCTATGACTATCACGCAGCCAGTGGTGATCCCCCGTCAAAGCTGTCGCCTTCACCGCTTAGCTTCCTCACTCCCTGCCATGCCCACCTTATTCTTTTCTTTACAATAAGGCTTTCAATTAAATCATCATTGTACGACTGTGAAGTGTCGGTGTTGAACGCTGATTTCATGCTTTCGATGATAACAATGAATTTGAATGAACTGGCTGAACCGTCGCCCTCAACGCGTGTCTCACTCTCCCTTTGCCCTTGGTGAACGAACTTGTATTGTACTGAAATGTACTTTTGCATACGGCTTGCAAGTGCAAAACTGAACTGCAATACCTGTCATCCAATTTCCACATAAAGTATCTGTCGCGTCGTACCAACCATAACTCGTTTTGCAACTTCGTCGCCCGTCTTTTATCATTATAACTATGTAACCGCTATAATGTAGGTACTAACCTGAGGGCGAAAGAAATAGTATTCACATTGAGGTTTGATTAGGCAGAAGTAGTGAACTAAAGTGTAAAAGGGTAGTGTCTCTTCGCTTACCCAAATGAAACGGTTAATAATAATGATGATAGACAATAACCTTTCTCCAGCGATGCGCACTCTATTATCAGTCGCTCAGTTCATCCCCCCGAATATGAACTCTGACTGAGTCCCACGGGCAATCCCTATTAGACCTGCATGACGGAATGCAATGCGGATTGTCTGCTCACCTTTGCCTTATTTACCATCTCTCCTGGGTGCGAATTCAGTCTTCAGAGTATGTTTATGACACTGATCCAATATACACTTGGGCACAACCATTCTGTGTGCGTGCACTTGACAATTGTCTTAACTTAGGTAGATATCACTTACTTTAACTCGGTATTCACATGCTTCCCGTATCCCTTTGTTCGTTGTTTCTGCCCCGAATATAGGTGTTTTTCGAATAAATGAGTGATGTACCATCGTCGGAAAAATTTGTTCTTGTTTCGCATCCAGCGTCCATTTTGGTGGACAGAGCAGCACAGTCAAGCGTCCTTATGCACAACACTACCTTAGTCAATCCGCTTGCACCCTTAACCATATTTCAGTTTGATTTTAACTTACTCCCTGAATATGTTCTTCTTTCGAAGGTCCGTCACATTTTACTGCTTCCAAATTATTGCCTTTTTCATTCTAGTTGAAGACCTCGGTTTGTACATGCCCAGCTACATGGCGGCCGCTTGCATCCTGTACGCTCTGAACTTGACTGTACATCCAGATCTCGGCGATGTTACCTTGCGGTCAGTTACTCGCATTCAGCAGCTTCTGCGCTTGGAAGCTGTAAGTTTGTTTGTTGTGATTTCCTGGATCAATCTTCCAGTCTACTGCCATAGTGTACGTTGGGTTTACTTTACTTGATTTTCTTAACTATGGAAGCATAGGGAAAACCCAAAGAGGCGCAAATTATTGTTATGGTGAGAGACGTCCTTAAAAGCATATGCACTTAGACAAACTTTCTGAAAGGCGTGAAAAATCTGTTTTACGAATCACAAAGATGGATGTTTCATGTGCTCAGACACCATAGTGTAAAATTTATATTCCGGCTTGAAATGAATGTTTACCATGATCTTCCTGTTGTGTCTGTGGGAGCTAGTTGAATGCCTAAGAGCCTGATGGAATTCATTCTATCACGTTGATAGTCTAGTGACTCGAGTGGGAAAACCTCAAGGAAGAAGACAGGTTACCAGATGGAGATCGGCTATATTGCAGATGAACCAATGAAAGAAAGAGCGCTGTGGCTCAGTTGGCTACAACAGAAACAAAATGAGATCTCAGTGCCATGTTACAAAGGGTTCGTTATGATCTGACCATCCTAACACTTCCTTGAATAGCAGTTTCGGAGTATTAGCAACTCGGTTACAATAATAGGCCGGAATTCACTTAGCGGACTGCACGGACACTAACTGGGCGTTAAGAGACGTGACCAACTCTATATTTCTCTGACCCGTACACGAACATGAATTGGCCAGGAATTAAGTTCAAGCAAGAACAAGGACGTCACGTGAATTTTTGGGACCCTGTTGCTCAGCCATTAAGGTTGACTCAATATGTGATCTCTCTGAGACTAAATCCTTCGTTTCCACTGAGATATGTATTGCACAAAAAACGAGACGAAGCCAAAAACAGGCACTGAAGGAATGTAAAACTCGACGGATTACGTCAAGACCACTAGAATGTACACAAGTAGAAAATGCAAATTGTGAACCAATGGTGTCCTACATGCCGGCGCAATTTGGCAAACCAAACTACACTACAACAGATTCTTCATGAACTGAAAGGATCACAAACAGTTAACCAGTCGAATGACAGAAAGGCGGATGCGAACCAGCCAATTAGCATAAAGGGACTGTTGAGATGAAGGTACTCAACAGACCGATCAGCCGTAAGCTAGTCAGGTCGTAACGCAACACTAGTTCCAGATACTCCTACCTAATTACGCGCGAGCCAAATTTCAAATCTTAGTGCCATTAAATACTTAAAAAAAAGGAAGTAAGAAGGAGGGACTAACAACCCAATCCACTCATTACCTTGTGTAGTAACCCAACGTTTATGAGCTAATTGCCAAGTTTTGTGAGCAGACCTACTGCTACCTGAGTAATGATCCATAGTTCCTGATTATCTCATGTTTCCCAGTATGGCGACCTTTGTGTATAGGGGATATGATCAAATCTGACTAGTCTAGCGCGCGGAGGAAGATTTTTCCAAGAACAGCGTAATCAGCATATGGTTTCCAAACGAATGACATTTAAAAACGAATTTCACTCTACTAAAATTTAACAAAACCAGTATCTTTCAGATATTGAATCTTGATTTCTCTGGAAGGACCATTTTTGGACCTCCTTCATATGTTCCACGCCATCTCCATGAATTCGGATAGGTCACTCACTGCTCGAAATCATTGCACAGAAGTCACGGAAACTTACACGACCAACAATCGCTAGCGAATGTGATTGTTCGTCGTGTGTCATGAGTAATCATGACTTTTTGGATTGCGTAGATCTACGTCCCACGTACCTTCACTGCACTGCTCTATATTTCTCCTTGTATGTCTTGTGAGGACCCTTCCATATAGCCGCATCAATAATTTTACTAGGTTCATTATCCCACCGTAGATTCGTTTTATCACTCACCAGTCATCACTTCCCTAAGAAAATCACTGTTCAAAATCCGTACGGAAGATTTTTCCCACACGGAATTTTAATGTAGCAAATCTCGTTTTATGGAGCCTGCTTTCAACACGTAGTTGGCGTGCATCGAAGCCTTTTTGCTGTTCTGTCCTTTCCGATAAGGTTCCATTCGTATCAGTTGCTTTCCCCCGCACCGCGCGCAGCCTCACGGCGAGACTCATCTCATTCGTCTATGCCACAGCCGTCAACTTAGTTGTCTTACACTCGGTAGTTGACCTTGTGCACACTTCCGCACCAAGTGCACTTTTGGACGCACCATGTCGGTCACAGTCACGCAGATACGTAGGTGCGTGCAGCATGTGATTTGGCTGACTCACCTCAATCGACGCCAACACATGAGCACTAAGCTAAATCTGTATAACTTGCATTTTTTTATGTAGACTGTCCAATGGCTCATGTCAAAAAAGACCCAGATTGCTGTGCATTTTAATAGAAGAATGTTTTTTGCCCTTAAACTCACTCAAACAAGGCCTTCGCATGTCATGCTATCTGAGGCAGTTTCCTGTCAACATTTACTTGGGAAACAAAACAGCGTTTCACGAGATCCAGATTCTTCAGACCGATGGTCGTCTCCAGGTAACGTACACAAACTCTTGAATTATGGCATTCAAGGAAAACGACCGAAATTTCAAGAGCATAAAAAATAGGAAAACCTGGAGTTGTAAACTTGTGCGTGGTGTACGGGTGTTCTCTCTGTCAGTTTCTTTCGGCAGTACGATGGAACATGAGGGTGTGGATAGCTGCACATTGGAGGCAGTTGCTGTTATATTTGGAGACTGAATCCAAAATTATCAGCGGAGGTTCATTATTGGTATGGAGGTGTAGAGTGGAAGTTCATGCATGAAAGCAGTTGTGTTGATATCCACACGGAGTCACTCCAAATTTCCATAGATCACAGCACTTCTTGTATTAATAATACTACATTTTTGGTAGATTATTGCACTTGCGTAATCAGCACTGTTCCATCTTCCCCCCACCCCAATTGCTTGTCCCATAGTGTTAGCACCTAATCGGGACATTCAAGTATCTATCTGTACAGTCCACTTCGCTTATTGACAAATGCCTTATAACAGTGGAGTTGTCGATGCAGCCAAACAAAGCCCTGTTGCCATTTCGTCCTTCTGTAGTGCACCCCCTGTCTGTACACCGTGAAAGATAACATCCTGCTATAGCTCATTCCCATCCTTGGACTTCCCGTTTCATACATCTCTCAGACTAATCAGCATTATCATAGAACAACCACCATCCACTATTTACTTACTGGCTTGTCTGCTGGTGGAGACAGAATCGTCGTCGATCATATGCGCTGGTGCTGGTCTGTCGGAAGACTGCTAGGCCTAAAAAGAATAGGAAGGGAAGCTGATAGTGACCGCTTAGTGCAAAGAATTTTCATGTTTGTAAGCCAAGATAATCCAGATCTTTTCACGCAACAAAGTTCCTTGAGGCTTTATTGAGTGGTTGTTTCGGCTTGTAATCTGCGGTTGGATGAGCCTACGAGCTACTCTTGTACGCCACTAGATTTGCCGGTTGGTCACTTTGTTTTAAGCTCGTGTATGTGATGTAGAAAGCGGTATGATGTCAGGCTTTCGAATTGCTAACAAGTCTTTCCGATAGACGGTGAGATTGGACATGTGACAAATATCTTGATCAACCTACCATCATAAGCCTGGTTCGCTGCTCTTGAGAGTGGCCACATAACTATTTCGTAGATATCCAGAAGCCAGAATACGATTTGGTAATGTTTCACGTCAAGATGGATTTAAGTTGTAACCTCTTTCTGGAATTGTACGGAAGCTAGTTCTTGAGTCGCTATCCCGCCTTGTTTGAATCATTGTTCGTTGTGTTTTTATGTTTTTTTTTAATGTTTTTCTTAATGTTCCCCGTCTGCAGCGCAAGATCCGCGAGGTATACCAGCACCTTCAATCCTGTTTCAAGCCCGGTACAATAGAACTCTCAGAGGCAGTCATCAAAGCGGACAGTGGAGTTGTAACCCCGTCTCCAGAGCCGTCTGTTCCTCCGCCCCCTCACCAATACGTTGCTTTGACTTCAAATTCCGCTGTTCCCATGCCGATGGCAACCAGTACTGTTCTTCCCACCCGACCTCTTTGTGCCGATGCATCATCTCATTCCAACTCTCTGTCATCCTTCGGAAGCAGTAGTGGGAGTTTCGAAAATGCCTCCACCCATTTGGCTTCAGCCTCGATTTCTACTTGTTCCCCCTCTGAAACTGAGTTTTTCAATGAGACGGAAAACGAGCAACCCCCGATTTCCGAGCTCTGCGTACCGCGCCCTTCCATGCCTTACGTTCAGTACTACCATCATCCGCAGGCTGCTCAGCACCCAAACGCGTACGCCGCCGGACAAATCTTGAACAACGAATGTGTCCTAGCAACAACCAACGGTTGGGAAAATGCAGCTGTCAATTTAACGGGGCCGTTGTCGAAGATGAACGACTATGTAACGGTGAAAGCAGCCGTCCCGTCTGCAGCGCAAGATCCGCGAGGTATACCAGCACCTTCAATCCTGTTTCAAGCCCGGTACAATAGAACTCTCAGAGGCAGTCATCAAAGCGGACAGTGGAGTTGTAACCCCGTCTCCAGAGCCGTCTGTTCCTCCGCCCCCTCACCAATACGTTGCTTTGACTTCAAATTCCGCTGTTCCCATGCCGATGGCAACCAGTACTGTTCTTCCCACCCGACCTCTTTGTGCCGATGCATCATCTCATTCCAACTCTCTGTCATCCTTCGGAAGCAGTAGTGGGAGTTTCGAAAATGCCTCCACCCATTTGGCTTCAGCCTCGATTTCTACTTGTTCCCCCTCTGAAACTGAGTTTTTCAATGAGACGGAAAACGAGCAACCCCCGATTTCCGAGCTCTGCGTACCGCGCCCTTCCATGCCTTACGTTCAGTACTACCATCATCCGCAGGCTGCTCAGCACCCAAACGCGTACGCCGCCGGACAAATCTTGAACAACGAATGTGTCCTAGCAACAACCAACGGTTGGGAAAATGCAGCTGTCAATTTAACGGGGCCGTTGTCGAAGATGAACGACTATGTAACGGTGAAAGCAGCCGTCTTCCCAGGCGATCCCAGGTTTGTCATTCTCACTGCTGCAGGCTTACCAGTGGCCACTCAACGTCGATGGACCCCGACCGACATTCGTGATGTTCAGCTCGAGTGAACTGTTTGAGAGGTTAGATTTGTTCCGGCGGCTTGTTTTGTGATACTTTCCTCCTAACTTTGATTACCGAGTGTCTGATACGGTTGGATTATTCTTATCATGGTCCGGTATTAACGTTTCGTGTACAGCACGTCTATTCAGTCTTTAGCCTCCTCCCTAGTGTTTTTGTGTCACTTCGTGTGGGTTTTCGGCGGACCGTTAACGCATTTTGCCTCAACGTCCACCGTAACGTGTTTATTTTATCACATACTTGATCCACTTATCCTCGTGGCTTTTCATTTCTACCAAACACGTCTTTGTTATCCTTGCTGGTCTTACCATACCGTCCCGTCTCGTTCCGTTAGCAATGGCTACCGTGAGTGTTTTCCTGAACATCTCAGCTACATCACCAGTATTTCCTTGGTCTTTCACCATCTCGAGCGCATACTATTGTTGAATCGCTCGGGAAGGGACGCATTTTCTTTTTTCTAACAAGAAGTTCGGCATTGGTCAGTTGATGTTTGTATCGATATTCATTCCATTTTCCACTCACCCTTATTTTGTTATAGCGCAATTTCTGTCCTCTACTCGCCTTCCCTATTGCTCGGCAACACCGCCGCCTGATACCAAACCAGTCCTTTTAACGACACCCTTGCGTCTGCATTTAATCGCACGTTTTCGTGTCCGAAATGCACGTTTCCACCAGACTCCTTCCAATTTTACGGGATGGGAGCAAACCAGACCAGTTAAGTGACGACGGCTCCCTTCGGTCCCGGTTGAACTGAAAAAGTCTCTTGCATGACATCGTACGGATTGGTTGTAGGTCAGGCGGTTGTTGTTACCCCAGTGCAAGGGTGGGTCGTGAGCCAGTATACTTCCCCTGAAGACAATGTGTGGATTGGTATTAGTGCTCCATTATGTGAGGAAACCCAATCTTTACGGAAGTTGGTGAGCCATAGCCAACTGTCTGACAACTTCGTGCCATGTAAACTAAGGAAAAAGTGCTCTCAGTCTCCCGACAGCGTATACAAACACTGCGAAAACGATGTTAACCTGGTTGCCGTCTGGTCATATCCTGCGTAGTGATGAATAAACAATCACTCTGCTGTAACATCCTTTAGATACCAAGCCACCCGAAGGAAGCTGGGCTACCGAAGCCTAGACAAGCGAAGTCAAGATGCAGAGTCTGGGTTCGAACCACGGACCTTTCATTCAGTACGTCCGCGCCCCAACCATAGCCCTCTGCGTAGGGCCTCGAGATAGCTTATTGGTTCGAACATAACCTCAGCATCTCGACTCCTGTCTAGGCTTGGGTAACCTGGCGTTGTTAGTCCATTCCTCAGAGTTCGCGTTTGCGACACCGCCGTGCCATTAATGCTTTCATATAGATCGGATGTCGACACTTGTGTTTTCAAGTCCGGAGGAAACATGGAAGTAGTAATCCCGAAGCATGTCAAATGGTATTTGTAACAAGTAAATCATACGGTGGATGATGTGTTCATGCTCCATATTGCAATTCGTAGTCTTTCAACATGCCCCTTGCAATTCACAGAGAAAAAGAGGCGAATAGCGTGTTACGAAAGTCGCATTATTTCTGNCAGTATCGCAGCCCTTGTGCTTCCTTCGGGTGGCATGGCAGGTGGGCACCGAAAGGGTGCTACAGCTGAACGAACAGTGGATGATGTGTTCATGCTCCATATTGCAATTCGTAGTCTTTGAACATGCCCCTTGCAATTCACAGAGAAAAAGAGGCGAATAGCGTGTTACGAAAGTCGCATTATTTCTGACAGTAGTTTCTCAGGTAACTACTGTTCAGCAAGTGTAGTTGAACAGCGTTTCCCAGATGATATTTTCATAGACCTTTTTCCTGTTGCATCTTGCTACGGACATAGGTCATTTACTTACCTGCCGCCTAGTCAGGCTGGATATCCATCATCTGTAAGTCCGTTTCCTACTTCATCTTTGGCTGCCGTTCGATCATGTACACCCATTACCCGGCTAGGTGTTAGCTAGGCAATACTACAAAAAATGTTTTAGGGTGGATTGACGAGCGCCATTTGACCTCTTGTACTAATCAGTGTCATAGTCTAAGATGTGTGACATGGTCGAAGTCCATGCTAAATTTAATGTGGTAATTCAAGTTTTCAGATTAATCGCGAAATTTTTTTTTACCATGCTCGCGATAAAATGTCACCTGCATAACGCCAAGACATCGTCAATAGGTACGGGAATCCTATCAAGGCTCTGTCTTCAAAGTTCTCTGTTGTGATAATTGCCAAAGCTGAAGACACTGTGGGTCTCGTTGCCCGGTGAGCATAAACCGCGTATTCAGAACAAATTGGCTCAGGTGTACTTTTATGGCCTCCACACTTTCAGCCGCTCAGGCAGTGTTCTCTCCCACCAGCCGCTTGTCTATTTCTGGAGGCACTGCAACATGCTCGTATATAACGAACTCACAGGAATGTCGTCTAGTTCCCTGCGTAACCCCGAGATTTCGTCCCTAAAAACGTATGAAATTTTCATTTTGCTGTTTGATCAATTGACGGCTATTCGTCTAAATCCCAGTGGGAACGTGCAACTTTTTCCCATGCACCACCTCCCATCATGTGTTCAGGCAGGTTGGTTGAAGCAAGCAGCAGAGCTAACACAAGCTGTGAGTCGGAACATTTCGTGAGAACAGCGGATAGAAAGGTCACGTGGTACCTGGTAAACTCAAACCGGTCGGACCTTCGACGAAGTAAACGGTCAAAGTTCAACTTACGTTGTAAGGTGCAGCTAAGTTTTACGCGTACAATAGCCCGGGGTGCAGCTACCATTTGAAAGCTATGATGGGCATGTTCCGATCTGCTTCAAGGTCCGTAATCGACAAATGCAAGTTGTCTAGTGTAATAGGGATGTCCTCACTGAATTAGGTGAACGGGACAACCAACCATGTGCGTCGCAAGAATGTACGAGCAGCTTTCATGTGCATACTAGCACTTGCTTACCTAAATCCGGTGAAAACGATTGCCACTTCTAAAGGTTCGTAGCTCCCTTGCCAGTCCAAGAAGAGTGCACTTTTACGTTGGTGCCAATCAATGAAGTCCAGCAAAAAGTTCAGTTGACCGTCCCACACAAGATTACTCTGCTCCTCCTTGCCGGAACTAAAGCTGTCGTTTGGTGGTCGAGCTTCTGAGCTAATAATAATCGTTCAGCTGTGACATCCTTTCGGTGCCTAGCTGCCGTACCACTCAAAGGAATGACGAAGGCTTAGATACTGCCAGGTGCCCAAGCCTAGACAGGGAAATCGAAAGGCAGAGGTCGAGTTCGAACCACGGACCTTCCGATCGGTAAATTCGCGCTCTAATCACTGAGCCACTTCGCTTCTGGGCTGCGATGATCCTAAAGTTTCAACCATGCCAGGAAGGCTGATGCGGAGCAGCCCGACGAAGAACAGTGAGAAGTCTCAGTGCGAGGCGGTCTGGGGAGGAATTGGTACCGTCCCCTGCAATGGGAGTGTAAAGGCGGTAGGGTGTTTCCTTCAGACGACCAAAATTCCCATATTTATGAATGCAGCGATGCTGGCTTCCCTCGAGCGAGGACCCTAAAAATTATACAATTCGATCGCTCAACATTTGGCCGTGACCGCCTGTGCATTGTTCCGTATGGCAATGAAACCAGAGTCTACTGCTGCTCAGAAGGTACCTGGTGTGCGCTTTCTTGGGACAGGCCGGCCCGCTGCAGCCAAATGGATCGGCTCCGGAAGGGTCTCTGAGAGCAGATCCTGAAGGCAAGAGCACACCGGGGACTACAGTTTCTCTAATAGCACATTAGAGGTCAAATTGCTCAAAGTACTGAATGCAACTTTGGCTTGAGTACAAGTACCTTCAGAATGCTGAGAGAAAAACGTCAGCATATCTTACGGTAATTTGTGCTCATGCAGAAGTACCCCTAGATCGGACAGACGCATTTTTCACATCGGCCACGAAAGCAAGTAAGTGAACCACTGCGCTGGCCGATTGACACATCCAGTTGCACAATTTTTCAGGTAGTCCGCATGAGCGTAAGAAGGGATCAGCCGTACGAATGCTGGAGTAATAGACTGTAAGTAGGTGTTGCCCGAATCAACCAGTCGTTCTTGCTCTGGGTTGTTGGTTATCTCATAGCTTGTCCCCCAGACGTCAGTTGAGACAAGGTTACGAGCAATATGTTTCACACAAAGTACAACGTCTGCGGAGAATATACTTGAACTCGATTTGGTGCGGAATCATGTAAGCGAATCCGAATAGCAGAAAATTACAGAAGTCTGGTCAATGAACCGTGACCCTGGGAACAGTTCAGGGGATTTAGTGCTAAGTTTAAAAATGACATGTGGTGTTTCAGCGGTATGATTTAGGCTATGTAAGAAAGGGAACAGTTGGAGTGCTTACGCTCCGACTGAGCACTCATCCAAAACTGCTTTCAGTTGAGTCTAAATATTACGCTCATAGTTCTGCTCTTATTCGAAGGCGTAGCTTCCGGTGATCTAATTGACACCAATTCTTAGTGTATTTGTATTGCTCGTGTTTACTCAATTGAACTTTATTCGAACCGATCTCCGTAATGGACTGCAGGCCTGCCGGATGGCACCCGTTGTTTTACACAACTGTTTTTTTCTTAATCGGGTGTTCTTGATTTGTAAATTGACCACAAATGGTCACCGAATGGCTTTGATGTTGGGGTGTAAGATTTCCCTGTCGTGATTTGTAAACCACAAATGGTCACCGAATGGCTTTGATGTTGGGGTGTAAGATTTCCCTGTCATGCGTATACTTTTAGCATATACTTTTTTTTAACCGTAGTGAACAGACGATTCGTTAAGCTGATTTCGCAGAAATCAGCTCACGTCTTACAGCTGTAACATGCATGTTAGCCTGTGGAGAAGCGGAGGATGAATCCGCCTTGGTACGTACCAGGGCGCGCAATCTACAACTTCACTGATGTGAGATCCTCAGAGGATTGGGTACATTAGGTACACACAGAGAGTGGCTAATATTTCAAGACGGATGTTCATCCGAAATCCATACACCCAGTGGTTGACGGCGTATGTACACTTTGTGGAGGTAACGGCGGAAAAGGGCACTTGCCGCCAAGCTTACGCATATCAATCATTACTGGTATGTACAGGTGGGTGGGTCGCACGTTCCTAATGAATCCGAACAAATGGGTGGTCGTTTACCTCGTCCCAATTTCACTGATGGGCTTCTTATCACCTAACTCCCACCAGCCGATCTACGCCTTTAAATTACGGACCTTACTGCCATATACTTCGGCTGATCCTCCAGGGTCGTTTCACGCTGCACTTTCTCGTCATGCCGACCAACGTTCCATACGTCACTTCATTACCTGCATCTATCAAACTCCGTCAAATTCACCGGGTGAGAACGCTATCCAATAGCCAAGCTTAACTCAAACCATTGCTCAATGAATTCGATTTTTATGTTTGGCGAAACAGACGTGTAATTTGTGCACTATGCCCCAAATAGAATAGGCTGGGCAGCACAACGGGAGACAATAATGTGGTGGAATAACTTGACTCACATAGTTGTATGTGCTTCAGGTATCCGCTTTGTGACGGTTATCGACCCATTCCTCCTCCTCAAGAAGGTGTTTACACTAAACCGATGGACTCTTCAGTGAATTTCCACCAGATATTGTCTCCATCACTGTATATT